TGGGTAACTGGGTCCGTGAACACAATTATCATCTGCTGGTGTCGGCGGTGGCGTCTTCGGCGCCGATATTGTCACAAACGGGGATCCATCAGAACCTTAAAAAGCAAGAGTCAAGTTAAAACTTATTGTTTTTGTGGAATATAGTTTGTCGGCGAATAAGATTCTGCCCAGGCCTAAGCGTTATCTGGCTATCCGAGGGGCGCTGATATCCAGGAGTCTGTGGAGACCTGGTTTTTTCGACCCAAACTGATTCGAGCAAACTACTGTCACCGAAAATTATGTGTACTATAAAACAAGGAAAAAAGAATGATTTTCCACGATTTTCAATATTTCGGTTTTATTGGATGATTCACCTGTGTCATAGGAAGTAATGCGACTGCACAATTGGATTGCAGCTAGGATTTGACAGCCACTAATGGGTTCTTATCTGCGACCGCCAGGCAAAATGACTTGAGTTTCATATACCGGACGCTGGTTTCAGCGTATGAACGAGGGAGTTGCTAGGAAAACAACACTGAACGCTAGGAAATTATAGCTGACAACGTTGCCTTCACGCCCTCAGCTAACATGGGGTCTAGGTTATTCTTTAGCCTTGTCTGTGACAAGAATGGCGTTATGCTCGCACGAATGCCCTGTCCTCGTTTTGTATCGCGGCAGAATTTTGAGACTCGGTAAATACCAGTGCTTAGAGTTGGGTCGATCACAAGTTTCTCCGTGCTGGCGATCAAGAGTCGGGCTGGCAACTGTATTCCATTTTTCGACCCTAGAGCGCATTTTGTGCACAGTCTAAGGCCACAGTATGGTCATTGAGGAAGTGCGTAACAACTGTTTCGAACGGAATATTGTATTATACACCAGAAGTAAACCTCAGGCCTCTACCCCTCCATATCGCAAATATCCGTCTTAACTATGCTGAGACCAATTTTCGTCACAAAATACTGTTGACATGCCACTTTTAAAAGGGTTACATGTTTTTATGGCCTAATACGCAAAGAGAGCTTACTGAATTCTTTTAGTATGTTGTAGCAGCATATGAAAGTATCCAACTCCTCCCATCCACTACAAATTAGGTCAAAATCCCTGGAAGTTAACTGATTTTTTCCCAAACAATCCGAGTCTGTCGATTTTGAGACCGCCGCCGATTTTCTGGTAGCTTCATTGGGACCGGTTTCGGGTTTTTGTTCTTTGATTTCTAATGCTGATGCAGGACAGGGCACCGTTGAATGCAAGAAAGCCGTTGGTTCATTGCCACACCCAACATCGGTGGCGATGGTCTTCGGAGTTTTCTTGTTTTGGGTCGCCACGCGTAGATGACATAGACTCCCAAAAGAGACTTTCTTTGAAAACGTTCCCTGATCCGTAGGTGTATTTATGGGTGGATGCGAGCTGCCTACGATTGGGAAAGTGTCTAAGTCCACTGTGGGCGGCCTAAGAGGACTGTTAGAAGAAACCAAGTTATCCGCCGATTTCTGACAGTTCACAATAGGAGAATGTCTACGATCTTCATTCGGTCGCATGTCAGCGGAAAAGTGTGCATCGGCGTTACCCGGTGGGCAGCGGGAATCCGGACTTTTTACGAGCGTTGGAGAGTGATAAATGTCGGCTTTTACCGTTTCTAAGTCCGAACAGTTATGATTTCTCATAGAACGATCGCTTGAAGGGAGCATATTCAGGTCCGATTCTTTGCAATTTTTAACTGGAAGTGGCTCGGCAAAGGAACGTGTTAATTGTCTCTCCGAATGCATATCTGCGAGGTTTATGCAGGCCGTTCGTTCGCTGACTTGTCGGCAGAACTGAGATTTCTCAATGGTGGGAAATTCATCATGTTCCTCTGTGTTGCATGACTGGTCAACTGGCAGGATCGGCGAAAGATCAAGTACAAGCCCAGGCGAACGGTTAAGATCGGAGATAGAGTGTCCAAGTCTGGTTAAGTCGTCCATTGAATGGCATGCGTTAAGTGGAGTTTGCAGTGGTTGCTGTCGTTCCACGCGATCGGACGACAGACGAGGGGTGCTTGAAAGCAGAGCACCAAGCGTTCTGTTGAGGACCGCTTTCTCTAGATTTTCCGAGGTGGGACCACCCAAGAGGGTCCCTCGAGGTTTCGCGCTTGGGGTTGAATGCTTAACTCTCCGGGGATCCCACTTAAAACGTTTGGGTGGTTGTCGTGAATGCTCAACACTCATCACACTGTCAATCTTTGCATCACAGCTGTGGGGAGGATCATACAGTGCGGCTTGAGGAGTAAGTAGATCAATAGTTGACTTCACTGGAAGCTTGTCATCTGTGGAGGCGTAAAGAGGATTCTAGAGTAAGAAGAAAGAGTTTTTAATTAATATCGGTTGGTGTACAATATTAAAAGTAAAGCGTTTCGGGTGTTTTGTCCCCCAGTCTCAGTTTATTGCCCGAAGGTCTGCGGAACAGTGACTGAATAATTAAATGATGGGAAATTGTAACAAGACCTCAAGGCATAGAGGTGCGTAATGGCCCACTGGAAACTCCTTTTCTAAATTAGATGTCTATACCATGGCCACATCATAGACGATCTTGGCTTGATTTTCATTTCACTTTAAACCAGATATTTTCTATGTTATCATAGTGCCCCTTAAAGTGACAAGCAAACATGGTGAG